TTCTGAATTTCTGAATTTCTGAATTTCTGAATTTCTGAATTTCTGAATTTCTGAATTTCTGAATTTCTGAATTTCTGAATTTCTGAATTTCTGAATTTCTGAATTTCTGAATTTCTGAATTTCTGAATTTCTGAATTTCTGAATTTCTGAATTTCTGAATTTCTGAATTTCTGAATTTCTGAATTTCTGAATTTCTGAATTTCTGAATTTCTGAATTTCTGAATTTCTGAATTTCTGAATTTCTGAATTTCTGAATTTCTGAATTTCTGAATTTCTGAATTTCTGAATTTCTGAATTTCTGAGATATTGAATTTTTCAGAATTTTCGAAATTTTAGAATTTTTCAGAATTTCGCAATATTCGCAAACTTCAATGAGATCAAAATTTTGGAGTTCCAAAACTCGGATGTTTCGCAGAATATCTAATTTTTCAGAACTTCCGAAATTCAGAACTTTGTCTCCAAAATTAAATTTCCCAAATGTCCCAAATTTTTAAATTCCAAGAAACATTTTCACGAGCGAAATTGATACTTTCTAACTGCCCGAACAATCACACCCAATTCAATAGCTTCCATTCTCCCACAATTCAAAAAAACTTGATCATACTGATTCAAAGATTCCTTTCGTAGTAGTAGTACTATCGGAATGTTAGTCATATACAATTGCGAGGAATGTTTGTTCCATTTTTTTGATTTTACTTCTACGGAGAATCAAGGTTCTGTAAAATTTCTTTGAGAAAAAGGTAATGGCTTTTTCTACCCTAGACGGAACATAAAAGTGGTCTTACTAGACCTGCAAGTACATAAAAATTAATTGAAGCTAGCTGGTTTACTAGGTATTCGAGACGCTGTGTAATTACAAAGATAGGTATATGCATAACCATATTCGGAAGTTTCTAGAAGACTTTTGCTAGTTGCCTCCCTACCCGTCGTTACCGTACTAGCAATTTGAGCTCAATTATCTCGATTCCTTTTAAAGATATTGAAAAGTAGTCAGCTAACAAATTGTTTTTGATAATTTGATGAACACTTTATTAGTTGAGATATTATGACCTCAAAGGGCAAGTATATAGATATATGACCTCAAAGGGCAAGTATATGCTCTAAAGAAAACACTTATATTTGTACTTTGAGCTCAATTATCTCGACTCCTATAAGAGATAGAAAAATTTTGTCGGCTAACAAAATATTGCTGATAAGATGGTAAACATTTTGTCAATTGACAACTTTTTGAAATCTCTTACAGGAACCGAGATAATTGAACTCCAATGAGTCTAACTTTGGAAAACAAACTTCAGAAAATTCACCGGAGCATTTGCAAAGAGGATTTTTTAGCTCATTTACCTCAATTCCTCTAAAAGATAAAAAATTTTGTCAACTAACAAAACACTGGTTATATTATGATAAACGTTTCATCAGTTGACAATTTTTTGATATCTCTTACAGGAGATGAGATAATTGAGCTCAAAATAAGAGAGCGCTTTTGGTTAAGGTGGCCACTGTTTTCAAAACAAGGGTTTTTCAATATTCCATGAAATTTGGATTGTCTTTTCTAATTTTTAACTTTCGATTCGGTTAACTTATAAAATCCACATCCTTATCATGCAATATTTGATTACTACTATCATCGATATATGAAACATGATAGGTGAACAAACATGTCAAATATCGGAAGTCGGGTACTAGTATTTGATGGGAGTTGAAAACTTATGACCCTTCTTTTTTATATCAACTTTTTTGTTGATATTATCAACAAAAAAAAAGGAAGACGGCAAAAAAAGTCGATAAGAATGATGGGCAAAAAGTGACTCACACTTCCAGTTGCCCACTCTTTTTTGGAATTTTTCGCCAAAAATTCCTTATTGATTTTCTTTTTTTCCTTAAACTGATCTTCCTTTTTATTTTTCTAGGTTGCAATTTGGTTTTTTTCTTTCCTCATTTTTCAAAAAAAATATCGTTTTGCATTTTTTTTCATTTTTCAACAATTCATCATTTTGTCTTTCCATCTTTTCAACAATTTGTCAATGTGACCTTAATCGATGACAAGACGAAGAAGAACTGTTTTGCCGAATGACCTCTAGATTGTTTCCGAAATTAATTTTGTCTCTTTTTCGATTTTATCTTCAAAAATTATGTATTCATTTTTCACTTGTTTTAGTTCTAGAAATTTGTAGAAAATCTATTCCTTATTCTCTAATAAAACTCCTATACTTGAACATTGAGCTCAATTATCTCGGTTCATGTGAGAGATATCAAAAATTTGTCAACTGATCAAAGTTTTATCATATCGTAAAAATTTTTTTGTTAGTTGAGAAGTTTTTTATATCTTCTGAAGGAACCGAGATAATTAAGTTCAATAGAGAGCATATGGCAATTGCCCGCTACCGCCACTAGGCCCCTTTGCTTGTACTTTGAGCTCATTTATCTGAATTGCTGTAAGAGATATCAAAATTTTGTCAATCAATAAAATGTTAATCATATTATCAGCATTATTTTATCAGTTGACAGATGTTTAATATCTTTCATAGGAACCGAGATAATTGAGCTCAAAATGACTGGGCAACGTTTTTGATGCCTACCATCTTTAAGTTTGATTTCTAGTGAGTTCCTAAGAAGATTATATTACAAATTATATATTGCTAATAAGACATTAAAATTTCTTAATTTCACAAAAAATCAGTTTACCAGCTCAATTTTGAAGCGATTTATGGCTAAATGAGTGTGGACGCGCCTTTTTTTTGAGGACGCGCTCAAAAAGAGGTGGTGAGCGGAGGGCGTGATTTATTATAATCTTCATATTTCAATCAAAAAACTATGCACACTATTTTTTAAAAATCTCATTTTTCTGTCCCTCCGATGACGAATGTTGACAGGTGTTGGTTTTCATTGAAAACCTATACGATGTGTAAAGTAATGCACTAAAATTTGCTAGGGGCGAGCCAAGATGAGAATAGGGATCGGAGAAAAGCAGTGGGACGGAAAGAGAAAGAATTTCTCATTTTTTTTTTGAGAAAAACTTTTTTTCTTGCGAGCTTCTAGGATTTGAAGATTGGACATGAGGTGTTTCCGGTCAGATTTTTGAAATCGCGGAGAGTTTTCCAAATATTTATTTTTAGCCTTTTTAGGATCAAAATCTGATCTTTTCAAATTTTTTTCCTCATATTATTTTAAGCCAGTTTCCTTTAAATTTAAAATATTCAGAGCCACCATCCCGCCGTCAAAAATGAACTCGCGTATGTCGAAACTCCGGAGGAGTATCTCTCGGAGTGTATTCCAGCTAAATAGCTCTTTGAGCCGGCAAAACAGTTTGAATGGGCTGGTGGACCTTCCAACTATGGCTAACACTACTCTGGTGGACAAGTTCGCAGTGAGTTTTGAAATTTCTCAGTTTGACCTAATTTATCTCGGTCCGATGAAAAGTATCAAAAAATGGTCTATTAATGAAATGGTGCTGATAATATGAAAAATATTTTGGCAGTTGACATAATTTTGATATCTACAAGACGAACTAAGGTAATTTGGGTCAAAGTTGGCACCTCTTTCGTATACGTCGGCCGAATTCGCGTCCGAAAGATTGTTAACTTTGAGCGTAATCATCTCGATCCTTGTAAAAGATATCAAAAAGCTGCCAACTGATAAAATATTGCTGATAATATGATAAACAGTTTATCAGTTGATCACTTTTTGATATATCTTACAAGAAGCGAGATAATTGAGCTTAAAGTTTGCTACAGGGCTTAGGTTTTATGGTTCTAACGATAGGTTGAACCTACACGGTAGTCTTAGCAAAAAATTAAGATTTTCAATAGAGCGCACTTACACACTTCCTTCCGATGTTTGCCCCGAACAAACAACAACTGCATCCTTGACACAGACTCAGACATAAACAAGACAAGTATTTTATATTGCAGACGCCAACGAATTTCCGTCAATTGAGAGACTTGATTCGCAACAATAACGAGTTGCTCGCCGAGGTTGTCGCCGCGTTTGAGGAGAAGGCGGCACTCGATTTTCATTATTCGAAGACGTTGAAAAAGATTTCGATTCGATTACACAAGTTGACGCAGAGTGTTGAATCGTGAGTGGTTTTTGGGAGGAGCGGGGAGTTTGATAAGAAATATGGAGCACACAGAAAACAATTGAAGTAGTGATACTGTTGGAAAACAAAATTTGATTTTAAAAATGGCAGTTTGAAAATTAAAAAGGCTATCTTCTAGAGAAATATGGTCTGACTGATAAGATAGTAGAGATCGAAGCTTAAATAGTGAACAAAATTACAATTAGCAAGGCAGAATCTGAGCAGAAATGCATTACGTAATGATAAAACCATTTTATGAGTCATCATTTAGTTGCCCAAAGATTTTAAATTAACATGAGCGATTTCGAACATTTTCAAAAATTCAAAGAGCTAGCAAGACTACTATGAACATCATCTATTCTAGATAAGTTACGGATCCCCAAGCTCAAACTTCAAGCTCAATTATCTCGGTTCCTATGAAAAATACAATAAATTTGTCAACTGATAAAATGCTTGACATAATATTAGCTACATGTTATCAATTGCCACATTTTTGATACCTCTTATAGGAAGCGAGATAATTGAGTTCAAAGTGCACATGGCGTTTTCTTTCAAAACAAGAGACGCAGACAGTTAGAGTGTTTTGGTGTCTGAATGTGTGCCCTGCTTTAAGCTCAATTATATCAGTTTCTTTAAGAGATACCAAATTTTTGCCAACTGATAAAATGTTACTCAATTCATCACCAACATTTTTTTAGTGAACAAAATTTTGATAACTCTTACAGGAAGCGAGATAATTGAGCGCAAGGTATATACACAAGGGTGGCGTTTTATCAGAGGAATGCTACTTTTCTAAATAATCGATTTAAAATACCCGCAGACCTAACAACTATTTTTTTTCAGTGGAATCGACAAAGGCTGGACCAATGTTGCTGAACAATTCGACATCCACGCAACCATACACAGTAATCTTGGCTCCGCCCTAACCGAGGATATCATCCAACCCCTCCGATCTATCCATACAAGTCAACAAAAAACCATAAGAGCTGCCGACAACTTCGTAGAGCGCGAAATTCGAAAATTGAAAGATAAGGAAGATGAGACTCAAAAAATGAAGCGCAGTTTGTATGTGCTGTCAAAGGAGTTGGAGAAAACCGAAAACGCTGCCGAACGAGAGAAAATGGCTCCAGAAAAGTATGCGTTGAGACGAAAGAAGTACAAGGAGCAAATGGTTCGAAGTGAGGATGATTACGTTTGGCAAACTGTGGATTTGGAGAAACAACGACGGATGACAGAGAATGTTTTGAGAAAGGGAGTAGAGAGTATGGAATCAGTGGAGAGACAGAGATTGGCACATTGTCAGACTGCACTTGGGAGGTATAAGAGGAAGATTGAGAATTTGGGACCGAATTTAAGACAGGTACGGGAAATCGAAGAAGTGTAAAATGTAGATAGTAAAATTCAACTCATTTTCTTAATTGTTAAATTTGAACTATCTTTTGTAGTTTTTGATATATGCGCATTTGAAAAAGCATTCCCTTTGCTCAAGCCCCATGCACGCGCTAGCCTAGAAGCTTAAATTCAAAAGCGTATATTTCAAAAACCAAATGAGATATCAAAATATATTCAACTTCAAATCTATAGATAATAAGATTTTACACATTTTGTTAGTTGTTAAATTTAAGCTATCTTTTAAACTTTTTGAGTTCTGCGCCTTTGAATTTGGGGCCCCCCGCTCCTTCGAGAATTAAGCCCACTACTATTTCACAAAGACAATTTCAGATGTTCGAGCGCCACTCAAACAATTTGGAGCTAGCTGTGGATTCAGTACCGGAGGACTACATCCAGACCATTCAACCATCAACTTCCGCTGTTAATCATATCACTTTGATTGATTTACATGTAAGTAGTTTTTTTTGAAAAAAGAATTTTTGGAAAACTCACAAGCAATAGTCATTCATCAGATAGTGCATGTTGTCGGGGTGGATGTTCTTGATGGAGGCCATTTTTGGTTAGTGGCAGTGGCGATCTACAAAAAAAATTTTTTGGTCGAAATTCAGAAAAAAGCTTACCTTGATACAGAAAAATTTTGAACGCAAGAAGAGTATTTGAAGTTGGATTCTGGAAATCTGAAAAATTAAAATTTGAGAAAAAGTCGTAGATTTGGGTGAATGCGAGAAAATATACCAAATAAAGCAAAGAGCATTTAGGTATTGTGTTCAAAAAAAAGGTTTTTTGACTTTTCCGAAAAAAGGTGTGGGGTTTGAATATGAGGTCTTTGGCAAACATAAATCGCCGAGTAAAGCGGAGAAAAGTGTTCGGAACAATAAAGGTTATAAAAGCGGTAATATTAACATCTTCTTGAATATTGCAGAACTAAACGTTTGAAAATGAAAAAAAACTACTGTAAATAGACACATCCATTTTGAGTTCAATTATCTCGGCTCCTATAAGAGATATCAAACATTTGTAAACTAACAAAATGTTGGTGATAAGATGATAAATATTTTATCAGTTGGCGGATTTTTGATGTATCTCGCAGGAACCGAGATATATTAGCTCAAAGTGTAAGTAACGATATATTAAAGCGCGTACTTCCAAAGCAAGAGAAGCAGACAGTTTACAGCTGTTTGAATCGTTGCCCTACTTTGAGCTGAATTATCTCGGTTCCTATAAAAGATATCAAAATATTGTCTACTGATGAATTGTTGGTGATAATATGACAAACATTTTATCAGTAAAAAACGTTTTGATATCTGTCAAAAGAACAGAGATATGTGAGCTTGAAGTGCGCGAGGTGGTCGATTTGAGGGATGTGAATGGTGGATGCGTTTTTTGACATGAAACATTCGGTAGCTAAACATAATCATTTTTGAAAAAAAAACGGCACAAATTAAAAAAATAACCGATAAGGTGGTCTAAAATAGAACAGAGAATGCTGCAAAACATGAATTGTTGAGTGCAAAGCCATGGCGCCAAAGAAAAACGAGCAGATGTTCTGAAATGTTTTAAAAACTGGAAGAGAGCGCTAAGGAGACGTAGCACAAGACAACCAAAAAAAAATGAGGCGGTCAGGAATCGAAAAGAAAGATGTACTCTTCTCTTTTCTTATGATGAGACGGCTGGCACCGACGGTTCCACTGGAGCAACCACGTCTTGGCAAAAGAGAGAAAAAGTTCTGGGACACTGGAAAGAACAGATAAGAGAGAGAAAAGTGCGCTTGCTCGAGGAAACTAAACTTCGAAAAAAAATTGCTAGATCACATTTCAATGTGGAAGATCCCTAGTATCTGAGATAGACGAAAAACCCCTTTTTTATAATTTTGTTAGTCCACATTGTAGTTTCGTTCGTTCACATTGTATCTTTAACAGGAAACACGTCATTTCTCACTAGAGGCACTAGCTAGGGGTACAAGACTAGCAGTAATTAAGACGGAGTCAAAAAATTGGGGCTATCTTCTATAATTAGCCCAGAAGCCAATTATTGAGCTGAATATATATCCGTCATAATTTTTTCCCTCATTGTAAGAATATGGCTCTCCAATTCTAGAAAAAAGCCACAACGAGTCCGCCCCTTCTAACACTTTCTATTGAGATTTTAGGAACATTTTTGCATAAGAAAAGAGACAAAAATTCGAATAAAGAAAAAAAGGATACTTTGAATACAAAGCGAAAACTGTTTCCCACACAAGCCAAAAAAAAGGAAAAAAAAAGAAAGAGCGGTATATATTTTTTCGAATCATACAGAACAGGAAGACAATTTTTTCTCCTTCGCGCCCTCGTAGCTCAGCTGGTAGCGGCGCTACCCCCTGATCTTTACCTCATGAGTTCAATTCCTCATGGGGGGTTATCTAGGCAAAACATCTAGAAAACTTTTTTTATGTCTTGTTTCCTTTAAGGATCGTACTAACCTATACCACCACGCGTGAAAAAAGTTTGACCTTGTAAGAGAAACTTGGGGATGGAAAAAATAGAACTACACAGATAAACTATCTACTGTTGCAAATTCTCTCGGGCCGGTTGGGATAGACAAGTAAAGATTGTTGCGGTACGGACGACCTACTTAATTGGAAACACTAGAAATAACGCGACCATCGCACTTTGAGCTCGAATAAATCGGTTGCTATAAGAAATATCAAAAAGGTGTAAATATAATAACAAAAATGTTGGGGATATATGACTCTTGTAAATGCGCTTAAATGCGAACATACTGTAATACTACAGTATACTAGCGTTAATCTCGAAACTTTAAATTGAAATGCCTGCATTCTATCAAAAAAGGCGCGAGAAGTTTTTCTTTCAAAAAAAAATTCTCTGAAAAAAACCTGTGAAATTTGTCAACTGCTTGACTGATTACATGATTGATTACAAGCGCGGCGTCGGAAATGGTATTCCGACCGGGCCGCGCAGATGCTTTTGTTTCTGATACCCTTCGCAACGAGATCGTCATCTTTTGCGCCTATTTTGAATTATGCTGCTATATAAACTTTGAGGTTAATCTGATTACGAAACCATAGAGGCCTGAATAAGAGGTAAATTTTAGCAAAATAAGGATCCCTTATTTAAAATTGGTTGTTCGTATAGTGAAGAATGGTCTGATAGAGAGCGGGAATATTTAAATGTCCTTATCAGTGTCTGGAACATGTCAATTAGAGAAATTTTGTAAAAGGCGGAAAATAGTGATAAACTGATGGCGAGGTTTGCTTTAACTGGTTACCGCAAACACACCCCATCTCCCAAATCATCAACTTTGAGCCCGTATATCTCATTTTCTGTGAAAACTATCAAAAAGTTTTTAAAGGTGGGGGGACATGAAAAAAATAATGTTCTCGAAATTTCGTTTAAATATGCCTCTCGAAGAGTTGAACGTGTGGGACGAGGATTGAGGGTGCGGCGCCGCTACCGACTGAGCTACACGGGCAAAGAGAAAGCGGTCGCCCGATTGCATACATAAAGGCGAGGACGATAGCTGTACGCAGAGTGACATTAAGCGTTGTACACCGTGACGGTAGAATGCATACTCTAGCTACAAAAAAACTACGAAAAATCTCCTGTCCCCCCACCTTTAACAAACAAAATATAGGTGATTTTGTGACAAACATTTTATCATTGACAGATTTTTGCTATCTTTCCCAGGAACCAAGACACATTTGTTCAAAGTTGAGGGTCATTTTATAAGTGGGTTTACGGTAACTTTGTGGGTTTTGATTCGAAAAAAAATCTCAAAAAAAAAGGTTGTCACCAGTAAGATTATTCATGAGGATAAAATGTGAAATTTTAACCAGTGTGAGATAGACGAAGTTTTATATTTTCGCAGATTCTGAAAAGCTCTGGAAATTCAACGATCATCCATGCACAGGCTAAAATTACACGTTCATTGGAAACAATCCAATGGAACTTGCCAAACAAACCAGGAAGTGTAAAAAGATACTGTAATAAGACACGACCAAGTATGACCGTAGTATGACCGGACTTGGTGGAACACTAAAATATGACATAGGACACCATCAAGTATGGAATAACATAGGATACCACCAAGTAGGACACTTGAATGACCATACTTGATGGTGTATGTTTCCCATGGTCCCTCACTCCTCATAAAGGATTATCCTATTGGTGTGACATAAGTTACACAATACATCCAAATTTAATATTTGTCACCCTGATACACCAGAAAGAAACTAATAGGCTCGGATGGTACATGGGGTACTGTAAAGGCATTTTGGCTAAGTCATTTGTAATCATCGTTTACCCCGATGATTGAGCTCAATTATCTTTGTCTACATAAAAGATATAAAAGATTTTTAAAATCTGTCAACTGATAAAATATTTTCAACTCATGACAGGCAGCTCAGGGGTACAGCGCCGCTTCCGGCTGAGCTACGGGGGCGCGAAGGCGCCTGACGACCGATGGTCTACATAAGCGCGGCGCGATTTCGTCCCCCGAACTGCCCCCAGAAATTTTTGCTGTCTCGCCTCCTTTAAAAGATTTATATATTAGACTTCGAAAAATGGGAATTTAAGAAACTCCTTTTTTTTCAGGCCGAAAACTTTGGCGAAGTCATGTCTTCTACACGACGTCGTCAGAATCTGGAGCGAGTATCCGGTGTGTTGGATACAGAGCTAAAACGGATGTACAACAATCAGACAGCAGATGTCATGGTTTCGAATTCCAAGCAAATTGTAATGCTTACTAGAATAAAGACTGAAAACGACATATATTTTTCAGAGTGTTCTTGAATTTATGGAATATCTCTACTACAAAATCAACGATGCTATTAACATAGTTGATGGTGGACAGAATCGAGGATTTCATAGACTCGCAAGGTTTCAGCACAAGATTAAAGATAAATCGGTTAGTTTAAAATCAAAGAAGGCGAAGCCTAATTTTTCACTTTTCAGGGTCTCGCTATGACAATCCTAACTATTCCGTTGTCTGGGGAGAATAACAGTCTACCACCACCACCAAGTTTATCATTGGAAGCATCTACAGCCTATCCGTCACCCCATGGCAGTAATGATTATGATGAATATGAGAAGGTTAGTTCAGGGAAATATTGTAAAATTTGAATTCCTGAAACAGTAATTCAGAATGTTTCTAAAAGTTTTCGAAAATAATTTCCAACCACCAAAATTTACATATTCCTGGTCCAACCCTTCCAAAAGAAAAGAATACATTAACACCTTTTAAAAACAATAACATAATTTTCTTCAAATTAAATATGTACGGCTTTCGCCGTCTAACCGTCCTTATCTGTCCTTTCACAAGTTCAGCAAAATTTTCAGACCTCTTAAGCACACAGGCGGGGCCTCAAATCCCAAACCCCGCCCCCTATGTGTGCTTTAAAGCGGAAAAATTTACCCATGTTGAAAAAAAATGAAACGAAACTCATTTACGATTGTAAAAAAGTCTTTTCTCAAAAAATTCACCTTTTCGCCACAATTAGTTGAAAGCACTCTAATGAAAGACCCCCCCCCCTTTAGTTGTCAACTTTGAGTCGATTGATCTCGGTTCTTATGAAGGATATCAAAAAACAGTCAACTAAAAGAATATTTTTGATATTATGATAAACATTTTATCAGTTGACAATTTTTTGATATCTTTCACAGGAATCGGGATAAGCCGGGTCAAAGTTAGGGGTGTCGCGCCCCTACCGGTTGACACTCGCTTGACTTTTAACTTTGAGCCAGTCCATCTCGCTTCCTGTAAGAAATATCAAAGAGTTGTTAACTCATAAAATTGTTTTGATATAATCTTGATGTCATAATCTTGATGTCTCTCACAGGAGCCGAAATAAAAGCGCTCAAAGTTGGCGGTATAGTATGCTCAATGTAGTTTCATCCAAAATCAATAGAACGAATGGTGATACTGTAACTTGCCGGAAGATAGTAAAAGTACCACAAGAAACTGTGACAATCGCGGCCGTGGGTAGGGCAGTCGGCGACCCAGAACCCCATAGGCCGCCTAATCCGACCTATCATAAACGTACCCTAATCAAAGTGCTGCAGCTGGTCTCGCACAGCCTTGACCGGGAAATGCAAGCGCGCTCGGCGGCTAACAGCGTTCCAATTTGGGACAGTTCGACAGTGCACAGTTCGAATTCGAACAGTTCGATTCTGTCCTTGTTCTGTTTTGATACTTGTTCGAGAAAGACACTGTTCTGATTTGAATCAGTTCGACTTTAGGTCTGTTCGATTTTGAAAACGTTCGAATTCGTCGTACCCCCGGAACCACGGTCTGGGCATATGCAACCTTCCCAAAAACCTTTTTTGAAGGCATAGTAAACCCTATATGCGACTTTATTCACAGCATGGGTCAAGATAAGCCTTCGCGGACCACTTGTGCCTCCTGCCAAAAACCTTTTTATAAGATGACACAACATTTGATGTGCGTCTTTCTTGTAAGATATTAAGTAAGATAAAAATCCAATTATTCCTATGGAAACAACAGATGTTTCGATGAACGCTTTTTGATGAAGAGGGTACGAAGATGATTTGATTGAAGAGGTGAAGAGTTACGGTAGTGTGTTGGTTACGAAATAGAATGCCTTATGAATAAGGTTAACTACGACGTTGGGGAACAATATTGAGGTACAAAAGGGGAGTATTATAAAGTTGAATTTTGATATCAAACCCTTCTCTAGGATAACAAAGCTTCGGAATCCTGAGAAAGGAAACGTTGATTGAATAGCCAATCAATAAGTGGATAGAGTTCTAAATGTTTATAGATGTTGTCAGAAATAGGAGAATCCTACCGGTCGATGCACCATGTTTTAAAACTATATTGTTTATTGAACGATAGGAAAAACACAATACATAGAAGGGGTATATATACTGTTTACATGACAAGGAATTTAATTTAAAAAAGGATTGTGGGGGATGTGTACATTCCCGTGCACATTCCCGTGCACATTCGGAATTGAACCGAGATTGAGGTCAAAGTGCAAGTAACCAGTTTCTAGTATCTTTGACAGAAATCCGAAGAAATTAGGTTGTATTACGGAATCACACTTTTTTTCTATTTTCTACAATAATGTTAGTATCAGATTTCGGACGACGGCTTCTATTCTACCACCACCACTGCAACGTCGTCTAGTAATGGACAGAGGACTACAACAAGTTTCAATGAACCAACTGCTCCAAATGGTCCAACAATTTGTAGAGTTCTGTATGATTTTGAACCAAAACACGCGGATGAGATTCAGGTTTGTATTTTGAAATTTTTGTATGAAATGTCGAACCCGAAAAAAAATCGGTTCAAACAAAGTGGACTTGGATGTCGTCTCCTAACTTCAGGCTGTCGTCTCTTAACTTTAAGCCCATGCAACTAATTTTCTGTAAAAGACATAAAAAAGTAGTCAACTGATAAAATGTTTACCATGATGCTACAAACATTTGAATAGTTGATCACTATTAGATATCTTTCACAGTAAATACGATAAATTGGCTTAAAGTTGACAATATTTGTGGTACTCTTTTCTTGCGAGACGACACACTACTGCTTACCGTAAATTTGGAGCTCAATTATCTCAGTTCCTATAAGAGATATATAAAATCTGTAAATTAACAAAATATTGGTGATATTATAACAAACATTTTATCAGTTGACAGATCCTTAATATCTTTTATAGGAACCGAAATAATTGAGCTTGAAGTTCAGGTTAGAGGAAACACCAATCAGTCTAGACTGTCCTAAACCCCAGCTTTTGAAATTCAAACTTTTGTTTGAAATCTAAAAATTTCCAGATTCGCGAAGGCCAATGTGTACTTGTCGAGGATCGAATCGGAGACGATTGGCTCATCGGCCACGTCATCAGTCAGCCGGACAACTCGGCGATCGACCCGAGATCTGGAAGATTCCCAACCACTTATGTTTCTTATTAGGGCTTTTTTCATTTGGTGCTTTTCTTTTTCCCCCAATGAACTTTTTTTCAAACCGCCCATCTTGATAATTGTCGAAAAAGAGCCCGGGTGGTTCAAGGCCAAGCCCAGTCGCCGTGTTCTTCTGCCGAGGCGGGGGATAATCGCTGAAAAATGTGAAAACGCCTATTTTTTTCAAAACCATTCTACACAGAACCGAGAGACGCAGATTCTGTTCTGATTCACTAGTCTGCGTCTCTCGCTTCAAAAATTCGCTAATTTATTTTTTTTTCGTTTCTCTTGTTTTTGATGCGGTTCATTCAAGGTAGAATTTATGTTCTGTGATTTGTTGTGGGCGGTTTTTGTTGCCGTTTTTCGTGAGAATTACGATTTTTTAGTATTTTTAATTTGTGAATTTGCAGGTGTAGGTAGTCAAAATAAATAAGGTTTCTCAAGTTGACAAGTAATTGCAAGAGACATCCAATCTTAAAAATAACGTATTTTTTTCTAATAGAGGTTTGCCCTATACTTGCACTTTGAGCTCCGTTATCCTGGTTCCTTTGAGAGATATCAAAAAATTATCAACTGATAAAATGTTCATCATCATATCACAAATTTTTTATTAGTTGACAGATTTTTGATAGCTCTTATAAAAATCGAGATAAATAAACTCAAAGTTGAGATACCTCTTTTTGGCGATGATACCTTGTGAAAACTTTGAGCTCAATTATATCGGTTCCTATAAGATATGCTTCAAATCTGTTAATTGACTTTATGCAATCAATGATATCCGGAGGATTCAAAGTCAATGAGGAGGAATCGAATGAAGTTTTCGGATTTCGATTGTCGTTTGGAGGATTCGTCGAACCAATTAAAAAGAATTGTTGGGATATATAAAACGATGGATTTTTGTTTTGATAATTTTTTTGTTTTGCACTCCCAAAGTATTATATGACTTTGTAGGGTTCTAGAGTACCTGTACCTCCGGTTCAAACATTTGCAACATATTTTTCTTTAATAAAACTATTTTATCATTGTTATCATTTCCCTGGTTCTCATTCATTTTGCCTAGACCAGTCTGTGTTCATCGATTGCTAATTTCTAATAAGCGTTTTCCCATTATGGTAAGTAGCTTTTTTCAGAGATTTGAAGTAAAGTAATCCATCATTAGGATCATTAGGAAGTGCATTCGAGTTTGAATTTTTTATATTTTATTTTCAACTCTCTTGGTTTTTAGCTAAGAGACCCAGAAAACTTTCCTTGCCATAATACAAAGCCACCGTATACCTGCACTTTGAGCCTATATATATATCGGTTTCTGTAACAGATATCAAAAAACGGTCAACTGACAAAATGTTCATTACAAAATCAGAAAAAGTTTTTGTAGTCAATCACTTTTCGATATCTATCACCGGAATCGAGATAAACTGACTCAATGTGCACGACCGTATTTTACAGTGATAACGGTAACTTGAAAAAGATTCTATTCAGAATCGCAAAGGAGTATGCCTATGATATGGACTTTTATCATTTCCACCAAGCGCGTCGAACAATGTGGTCATTTGCGTCTAGTTTTCATGAAGCGGTAAATGAACCAAAAGTTGTGCGAAATTTCAAAACCTACTAATTTACAGACACAAGAAGAGCGCATTTATCACCTTCAAGAGGCCAATGAACAGTTGCAAAAAATTCTTGAGCCAGCTCCTGTCGAAGATTACGATGCAATAGTAAATTTTTAATCTAAAGAACTATGATAGTAACATTTTCTTTTCAGCCATACGAAGAATTGTTAGAACGGTACAATTTCATCCAAACACGAAGGGATAAAGTGAACAAACTTTTTGGCGACAGAAGAAGGAGACCTTACACTTTTAAGGAATAAGTTGTCATCAATTGCAACCGTGTTAAAGCCACCATTACCGAAAGTTATGAGTCGATGAAGAAGAGGATTCGGAAGAATAATAATGAACAAAATTGATTTTGGTATTTCTTTGAAAAATAAAATTGCTTCAATTACTTTTTTGTTTTTTCAATGGTTCTGAATTTTAGACAGAAATTTAGATCACTTCATATTTGACAATGTTCTGGAAACTCTTGCTAAAAATCCAGAAAAAATGTCAAAACAAATCAGATTCCAAAGTTCTGAAATTATGTGAAAAAAATGCCCTTAAATTTTTCAATCTAGGCTCAAACTTCTCAAGTTTTGTATAATTTCCATAAATTTCGTTTTTTCGATCCGTATGCGCCTTAAAATGAAAAATGTCCTGAAAATCAAAATGGGCGATGCATAGTCGTGTTTATACTCATTTTGAAGCTTAAGGAATCTTGAAACCAAAAAATAGAGGAATCTTGAAACCAAAAATTCTGTTCAATAAGTTTTATGTAGAAACCGCATCTTTATCACGTCTTCATTGAATTCATTGAATTTTAATTTTCTGTGTTTTGAGCTTCGAAATAAGTATAAATACAACTTTGCTCCGCCCATTTGGATGTTTTACTTTAAAGGCGCATACGGGTCCAAAAAACTGAAATTCGTGAAAAGCAGGTCATGTTTATACTCATTTTGAAGCTGAAAACGCGGCAAGTTCAAATATTCAAATAAGAAAAACGTCTAATATAACTTGATTATCGTTTTAAACCAGCAAGCTGGTGCGCCTCCCGCGCGATTCAGTTTAAATTTTTCACTGGTGCGTCGCTTCGTTTCTCACGTTTTTTCAAAGGTAATCCATACTTCTTTTCAAGCTTTTCAAAATCGGACAGCGTGACACCAGGACCGACAGACATCTCTACCGTTTTATATATAAGGAAGATGTTTAAGCACAGGAAACATGTTGGAAGTACTTCTTTCATAAAATTAAGAGCATTGAAAAAAGAAAGTACAGATTTGAATATCAATCCAAAGAGTATATTAATCATGTTATCTCCTTATTCCTTCCTCATTTTCCTTATCATTGATCCCCAACTCTCACTTATTGCGGCTTTAACACGTCTGCGTATTCCGCTGAAAGGATCCCAAGAAGGCAGATATGTGTCTTGGTATTGGAAAAGACTTCTCAATTCGGCATTTCGTGTCTTGATAGATTTGAAGCGCTCCATCAGTTCTTCGTCGGACTGAAAACAAAATTTTAAAGTTTTTGATTCCCCAGAAAATCATATGTTTTAACAATTACCATAGCATTGTAATCGATTGGAGCAGTCGGCTTGAGAATCGCTTCAATATGATTGCTGATCTGTTGACAGCAACGGATGCGGCTAGATTTGGTCTGAAAATTTTTGCAATAATACAAAAAACCCAACAAACTCTCGACTTACAGTTTCATGGAAAGTGCGCTCGAGTGTCCTCATTTTCCAACAAGCCCGGTCGAAATGATATGAATCTATCTCATACGCATAGCTCTCATCGTACCATCTTAGTGTCTTTAGAGTTTTTTGGCGGTCCTGAAAATGTAAAGTATTTTTTCATCACTTTTTTTACTCACAGTAAACTATAAACTGTGAAAAGTATACTGTAGCTCCTATAAGAAAGTTTTCAACGATTTTTAAAAATGTATATTTTAAAGGAGGCCAGACATCAAAAATTTCAAAAATTTCATTTTTACTCAAAAGATATAACTCTGAAGTATAAATATAGCTATGTACTTAAAAACCTGAAAAAAACACTTCAAGGACGAAAAAATGCTCTTTTTTGTCACCCTAATTTCTTCACTAGCTTGCTGCTGCGGCGTCGCTTCATAATGTGAAAAACGCGATGATCGCCTCTTACACGCGTAGTGTAGTGGGTAAGCTCTAGGCTAGTATTCAGGAGGTCAGAGGTTCAATCCCTGCTGGTGTTTTTACTTTTTTCTTCCCTTGTTTCCTTCGGATTGAACTTTTTGAACTCGGAATTTCTGAAGGGCTACCAGCGTGCCGCCGAGGCCTCGCTCCGAGGTATCAAAATCAGTTGAAAATGAAGAAACGTGTTTTATTATGTTAACAAATAAATTATGAAAAAAACTACAATTAATTTTTAGAAAGAGACATAACAATTGAAAAAAAAAACCACATAATTAAAACAATCCTCGTGCAGGGCTGGTCGTCGGAAGGTGAAGGAAGCAGTAAAAATGGAGACGTCTCTGAAAACCCTAGTCATAAAACAGTTTTTATTCCTAGAGTAATAACGAGAAGTAATGAGATAAATAGGAACAGTGAAGAAACGGTTATCGAAGAGAAAATAGTTTTTTTCGCATGCCTATAAAAAACACCGGCGACTGGCTAAATAATCGGTCGATAGAACTTTAAATTTACATAAAAAATTCACTTTTATATGGGTTTTATAATAAATAAGAAAAAAGAGCTTTTTTAATGTTTGAAGTCGTTAAAAATTGAAAAAAATAAAGTCGGGAAATAAAAAAATAAAAATGTTTGCGCGTGGGATTGCGTGCTTTAGGTGGAACACCGCGACGGCAAAATACACATTCCCTGAAATTTTCCCCGAAATTTTTGCTGTCTGCCCTCCTTTAAGGAATATTTTCTGGATCCTTTAGCTAATAGAGTGGAAAATCTGAAAGTTCTAAAACAATCTCTGATGTATACCTAGATTATAATTACTGACTAATATTTTAAATTAATCTGAAAGACTACTGTACTTCAAACGCTCTGAAAAAACAACTTACCATAATGAGGAACCGCTTGCTGGCAAGAGATAATCGATGAGCACCAACTGGCCCAGAATGGATAAATGACCAGGGTGAAGGAGGAAGGACAGGACGATGTGCACAGAAGAGTGGTCAGTATTCATGTTCTGGTGCCAGATGACCTTGATGACCTCTCTCTCTCTCTCTTGTGTGGCCATCTGGCTATCTTCTGATTAGAGCACTTTTGCGTAGCTACAGTCTAAAATTTTAAGAAACAGTCTTCTACAATTAATCAGTAAGTTTAAAAAAACCAAATAAGTCTCTCAAAAATACACCAACAAAAATGGCTCACAACTTTCTAAAAAATCATAAAGACAAAAAAAGAGGAACGTGAAGAAATTCCAAAATTCCTGAAAAAAATCACTTTAGAAATTTATTCCTTTTGATTAGAAACTCCTGTGAAAATGGGTGCGAAAATTGTGAAACTGATCAATGAAGACTCTAGCGTTGAGGACAACGATTTTGACAGAATTAGAGATCTGGAGGAAGGAGAGGATTCCTCGACTTGGGATAGTTCAACGTCGTCTAGTAAGCTTGAAAGATAGGATAAATTAAAGATAATTGTTTCCAGATGGAGAAGAGGAAGAAGAGGATTACTGTACTTCGGAATACAAGATGGCATCGTGCCCCCAGGATCCGTACATTGTTGAAAAGAGATTTGTGGCCGGATCGAACGAATTCTTCTACAACATTGTCAAGAGAAAATAATTAGACTCCTCGGTTGCTAATTGAACTCAAACTGCTTAATTAGATAAATTCTTTAAATTATTTTTTTTTGTTTACATCATATACATACTGAAAAAAAAGTCGCATATTTTCCCAAATTAAAAGCACCTCAATTATTAAATTTTCAAAAATTTTGAATTTTAAAATTTCTCCAAACTTCAGAATTTTAGTTTTTTCAAAATTTCAAAATTTTATATTTTTCCAACATTTTTGAATTTCAGTTTTTCCCGAAAATCATGATTTCTTTTAATTTTTCTCAAAATTTCTGAATTTTAGATTTTTCGAAAACGTTGCTGAAGGTTTCAGAACAAAAAAATTCGAAAATTCTGATTTTTGAAAATTTTGAAAATTCTGAAATAGTTGTCCAAATTTTTGAATTTTTTCCTACATTTTTCGAAAGTGGATAAAAAAGTTTTTTTTTAATAAAAAATATACGAACACATAAGAATCTGTCGTTATTACGGTGAGAAAAGAGATACAAAGGGAAAGACAAAAAATTAATATCACAGGAACTTTACAGTTATTAATGAATTACAAGACGAAATATGACAATTTGAATTTTTGCGATAAAAGAGGGAGAGAGAGAGAGAAAGGCAGCTGCAAACGCGCTCCATTGATAAAAGAGACACAAATTTACAGGATATCCCAGAACCTTTAGCACATGATAGAACCATGAGGAATTTTATGGAATCTTTGAGTCCAGATGAAAAAGTTGAAAGTATTATTAATAAGGAGTACTGTAGCCATCATTCCATCCGATTTTCTATAGATATCATGTCCTTCTGAGCAGTCTATCGACATGATTCCATTATTCAACCAAACCACGTAACTACTGCTCCGATGTTTCGGATTCCATGGGTATATTTGGATTTCTCGAAGAATTGAAGCATCAATTTGCATTCCGAAGATTCTTATAACACTTGGTTCGTTGACTCGAGGAGTAGATTTAATCCAGTTTTTGATGAATACATTGAGTTCCCACAGCTCCATTCTTGAGTTTTCCATCAGAAGAATATTGGATTCGAACTTTCCCAACGAAGGTAACATCATCGATCTCGTTGATTCCAAATACAAAACTTCCAATTTCCGATGCTCCAATCCCTTGAAATCTCTTGGAACCTCTGGCTCAACATAGAAATTTTCCAATTTTTTAAATTTTTTAAAAATCAACGTCAGTTCATCAGTTGTGACGAACTCTGATCCAATGTAAATGTCTTTCACTTCTTCGACCATTCCATAGTACTCAGTGACGTCATCTTCGGTGATAGAACGATCGAATCGGAAAGTGTCTACGGATTTTTTGTGGAGAATGAAGAGAATTTGAGAGCAGACTGGTTTGAAGATTTTATCGTCGAGTGGGCGGCTGGAAATTCAGATTTTCGCACTGATAAAGCTCCTAATTCTCAACATTATTGTAACAATTCAATAAAATTAGTGCCCCTTAACTTTGAATCAAATTATATCGGTTCCTTTAAAAGATAAGAAAAAGTTGTCAACTAACAAAATGTTTATCATATCATCAAAAATAGTTTATCAGTTGACAATTCTTGATATCTCACATATGAAATGAGATAAATTGTATTAAAGGAGATGTACAAATCTTCAGTCATTTTTGAGCCAACTGCCTAGTTGTAAAATTAATTTGAGCCATTTTCGACATTTTTTTTACCTTTTTTAACATTTTGAACACATTTTAAAGCTAATGCTAGCATATTTTTAGATATTTCTTCTTATTTAATAGCTATATTAATTCTTCAGAATTGCATTAGAAGATTTTTGTAACGTCAATGTGTTTTAGAGCTTCTCTGCAGAGCTTCAAATTTTTATTATGTCAACTTTGAGCCCATAAATCTCATTTTCTGCGAAAGATATCAAAAAGTTGTCAACTGACGAAATATTTACCATAATGCTATAAACATTTTGTCAGTTGGCCACTTTTCGATACATTTCACAGGGACCAAGATAAATTGGCTCAAAACTAAAGGGTCTTTCCGAATACGCCATTGGTAGACAAGCGCTGGCGGTCACCATTCTGTGCTAAAAACTTTGAGCCAATTTATCCCGGGTTCCTGTGGAAAATATGAAGAAGTAAAAAAACTGATATTTTTGATGTTATGATAAACATCTTATCAGTTTACAGATTTTTGATATCTCTGACAAAAACCGAAACAATCTGGCTGATAGTTAATGGTGTGGAGAAAAGGGGGAATTCTATTAGAGTGTCTACGGTAATTTATCCTAAAACCTATTATTATTTATAGCTACCTATGTAGCTGATCATCCGACTCACGTGACTGCTCCTTCTGCTTCAGCATTCTTCGTTTCAATGTTTCCCCATGAGCACTTGATTCCTTTATAAACCACATTGAACACTCTCTCATAGTCCTTGGTTAGGTACAGCTCAACGTCTTTGGCGTTCAATGCACACAATCTGACTTGTTGCTTTGTTTTCTTTGAGACATACGTCAGATTGAGTCTGAAACATTTTTTTTTCTTGAATTTTGAGTAATTTTTGGGGGTCAAAAAATATTTTTAAAATTCAATTATGCCTATTTCCGTTGAAAATGGTATGGTCAACTTTGAGGTCCTAAAAAGTAGTCTAGAAATTTTCATTTTTTTCTGAAACTTTGAGAGTATTCCAAACAAGAAAAGGGCTTCAATTTTGTAGTTGACAAGTTTTTTGTACAAGCTCATCCAAGTTATTTAAATGAATTTGGGAAATTGTCAGCTATCAGTGCTAGGTACAATTTGTTGCTTTATGTAAGCACTTAAAATAGGCTTAATTCAATAAAATCTTCTATATTTTTTATATAATTCAAGTTGGCCATTTTGAACTAACAAGATTTATAATTTTTAAAAAACTCACACTGTAAAAAACTCGAACTCATGCAGAACTTTTCGAAATATTACAAACGGAAGATCCAACAATCGGAACACCTTCACTTTCTTGACTTCCTCTTGAACTTCCTCCATTTTAGCAGGAAGGTATTGAAAGAAGAAAAAGAAGAAGATGACGAAGCGTGGTGGAAGAAGGCGCTCGTGGCAGGGAGAGAGAGAGAGAGTGAGAGACGCAGAATACACTCTCCTCAGAATACTCTGAAGAGACGCGAGACGACGAGAGTGATTATATAGAAGGCGTTGACGAAATTACACTTCCAAGGCGCACCTTTTTTTGGAGCTTTTTTCTTTGGAGAAATCAAAGAAGGAGAATGAATGAATTGATATGTAGAGAGTGCTTTTTGGGAGATTGGAATAGGAGGAATTGGGGGAAAAGGGAAGAAGAAGAAGAAGAGGGAAGCCGAGGGAGAGAGACGAATATATGTTCGAGGTCAATGTTACGCAATCGCTTATTGCATACCTCTAGGCTCGTTCTAGGAAAAAATGTGTTCGGCGGAGAACCTTAAGCACACTAATAGAATCGCCCTTAACCATCAACTTTGAGCTCTACATTCGTGGCTCCTGTAAGAGACATCCAAATTTTGTAAACAAAACATTTTTTGAAGATTGTGATGAATATTTTATTAGTTGAAAAATGTTTGATACCTTTTGAAAGAACCGAGATACAGTACCGGTCAATAAAATATACAAAAAAGTGGTTTATAGTTGATTTTGTGGGCTATTTTGACCATTTTCAAGAGTCTGGAGCTCGACTGTTGAGTGTGAACTACTTTTTTGAATTTTGGAGGATGTAAAACAGATATAGATTGAAAACTTTGAATTTACAGAATTTTCTGAAAATTTCCTGTTTTTCAGATATTTGGCTATTTCTGAGGCTATTCCCCCTTTTTAGGCCCGTTTTGTACGGAAAACTTGAAAAAGCGGATGTCTTTCAAAAATCGATAAATAGCTGAAAAAATAGGAATTTTCGAAAAGCTTTGTAAATGCAAAGTTACCAATCTATGTCTGTTTTACATTTTCCAATGTTTTCAAAGTGATCGGAAACTTGACAGCCAACCTCCAAACTTCTGAAAATGGTTATAATGACCTAAAATCAACAGGAAAAATACATTTTTGGGATCAATCCTAGCAATAACATTTTTTCTTGTTTTAACCAAAAAAAAATTTGGTCTGTATATTTTTAATTTTTCCAAGAGAAAGTTTGAAAAGATGCATTTTTTGTGGAACTCGGAATTAGAAATATGTACAGAATACAGAATCCGGATTAAGGACATCTCTGGAGAACAATAAAAACAGTAAAATTTATGAAAATTTATTAATTTCTCAATTTTTTTCAAAAGTACCATACATTCGAGATTAAAAAAACAAAAAAGAGAATCAATTTTCCTGAAAGCAATTGATAATTTTCTGAATACACGCTTCCTGATAATCATGTACCCAATTGACACTAAACGCCGTGCGCAAGGTCTCCTGCCATTCAGCCGTCTGTTCAAAATCCTTGTGATTCACTGTGATGATATTCTTATCGAACTGAAACGCAAAATCAAGCTCTTTGGGCATCTGATCAGGTTCCAAACTGTTCGTGGTGAGAATTAAAACCAAATGCTTGCAAGAGGAAACGTCTCGAAGAAGGGATTCTCTTTAAAAAAAAGGGCTTATCATCAATGGAGCGAATTTTCTAAACTCACTCTAAATCGTTTGCTTCAGTGTTATCAATATCCATTCTAACTCGATATCCATACTTCTCCAAGTATAGCTTGATAAGACTTGCCAACTCAGCTCCGGGACTATTTCGATAGGATATGTAGACAATATCTTCGATGGATGGTGTCTTCATTGCTTCTCGCTCCTTGATACCGTAAAACTTTGCCAGTTTCAGTTGATGGACCGGATTCACGATTCCACACTTGGTCATAATTTCATAGGTCAATGAAGGTAACACCTTGCTATCAATCCCATTGGACAGCATTTGGTAGGTGTATACAGTTAACGCAGGACTTACAGCTTCAAGACGCTTTTCGAGATTTGTCACATCGATTTTTGAGTAGTCAACTGACAATTTGAGTTTGTGTAGCTCTCTTAAAAATCGTTTCCGAAGAAGTCCCGAACTCATTCCAAGGTCTTCTAGCAACTCATTCTCCGTTAGTTGAAGCAATAAGTCTCCATCGACGGCCTGACCCAGAAAGTTGTATATATAGGCTTCAAATCCTGTTCGTTCAAGCCAGCAAGCCACGTCACATTTAGTCCATTCGGGAATTTGGGAAGGGAGTTTCTCTGGTTTTGGTGGAGCTGAATCCTGAGGAAGATCAGCAATAGCAATCATCAACTCCACCCAATGGATTGGACCATTGATTTCACAGATTCTCAAAGTTCTCTCATCATCCTCCCGTAAAATTTCATTCCGCAGAATTCGATATGTGAAAACACACAACTCTGGATTGATTTCCTTCAAAAATCCATTCGGAGAGATGCCGGCAGACGTCTTCAGAATCTTTTGATTTTCATCTGAATCAGAGATGGCTGAAGAACAGGTGGACGGAGTTGATGGTGTCTGAAAAATAGGATTTCACATCCAAAACTCCTAAATCTTATATCAAAATGTGTAGAACGTTCTAGGTTTTTAGAAAGTGTCAATCTCTAACCTTAATTACCAACATATAAACATAGTCCAGTAGGTAACCTGAGGGGCACTACTTTGAACAACTTTATCTCGGTTTTCGTGAAAAATATCAAAAAGTTGTTAACTACAAAATGTTTTTGAAATTATAACAAACTTTTTGTCTGTTGACAACTTTTTCAGAGAATTCACAGTAAACGAAATAACTTAGGTTGAAGTTAAGGTAGGCATATTTCGCTGGCTCATCACTTTTGCTGTGAGGAACTGTACGGAACTATTATACTAATTTCAATTTCAGTTTTATTTAGTATTCGAATAAATTGTACTTAAAAACGGTACAGATAAAAAACTTTAATGTTTTATAAAGTTATCGTTTCATGAACTAAACATCTTTTACATTAAAGTTGGTGTGCAGTGAAAAATTAGCACTTTGAGCGCCACCACACTGCCAACTTTGACCTGATTTTTCTTGGCTCCTGTGGGAGGGATCAAAAAGTTGTTTACTAACAAAATTTTTATCACCATATCAGACACATTTTGTTGGTTAACAACTTTTTTGTACCTTTCATAAAAACGGAGATAAATTGGGTCGAAGATGACCTTCCTTAAATGGGCTGTTATTGCTCAAGCACTACTCTTGTCTTAATGTCAAAAATGCAGGTAAAAACGCAACTTTAAAACAGCAATTACCGTAATCTTTACATGAAAGGTTATAGCAACCCTAATTAGAAAAGTTATGGTCCCATGTGACCCCGGTCTCTCATGACAACCTATTCTGCCTCTCGTCTTCCTCTCCTTCTTCCTTTCCGTTATTGTATCAGGAGAAACAGAGAAAGAGGAAAACAAAAAGGAGGACCGATGCAAAAAGTGATGTCATTTATTTATCTCTCCCCGCCCGTTCTGCCACCAAAGCCTTCTCGCCATTTCGTCTCTCTGTCTTCTAATAACCAATGTAGACGATGGAAATGAGCGCGTTTGGATTTGAACTACTCGAGGTAATTATAGATATTTTTTTAGATTTTGAAGGTGGTGTGCG